CTACAAACAAAATGAAGCGAGAGTTTAAATAATTCAGCAAAGAAAGTTGAACAATAGAATTTTCTTTGTTGAAATATCTAACGAATTAATATTTCTCTCCAATAATAAATTTACCCAAACAAAGGTGTATGTAACCTGAAACATTGAATCTGATAACTGTTTTTGGTGTTATCAATTAGAACCATTTCACACGAATCTTCTTATTTCAGTTGTGAGATATTAAATTGTTGTTTTTGTGAATGTTGTGGCAATGCGTTTACATGAACGGCAACAGGCGTCATCAGGCCGATAGCGAACAGATCGGGTCGCTGATACCGGCCGATCACAGGCCTACAGTTACATACAACTAATAATACCATGATAAATATTACATCTTGCTAATATTATAAATGCGAATGTTTGGATGGATGGATATTTGTTAGAAGATATCTCCGGAATGGCTCAAAGGTTCTTGATGAAATTATGCTTAGGACATAGTCAGAAAGTGCTCTTTATCTGAACTTCGTGAATCAAGATCCGTTGATTCGTTACGGAGATGCCTTCTAATAAACATACATCCATCCAAATATTCGCATTTATAATATTAGTAAGATGTGACATGAAAATTACTAAATCGTATTTAGAAAATACCATTTTTGATTGACTAAATGTCACATTGCCTTTGTTAAAGTCTTAATTTTAATTTAAAAAGCATTTTACAGTTACTAACTCTATTATTGATTGAGATTGTCTTTCAAATTCTATAAAATACATATTGGAATTTTGTAAGTAAAGGTTCCCTTTCTGGTTTTTCTTTTTCAGTAAATATCTTCTCTTATCCAGGTAGCATGGTCACCCTAGTATGTTGTACTTGCGTACTTGCGGGTGAGATATTGCGATAGGGTTGTTTTATTGCGGCCGACGGACAATAGGTCAGTTTGTTTTGGCGCTAGAAGAAAGTCCCGCAGCGGTACTAATGAACATAATTAATTAAACAACGGAAGATGTTATGCAGATTTATTCAAATAGTATTAAAATATATCTTAAAATCTAATAAAACTAGTACTTTTATGATCACAGGTTGTTTAACCAGTAAATCCAAAAAAAAAATTTATAAGTAAAGTACAAAAAAAATAAAGCAAATTAAAAAAAAATGAAAAGAAACTCACAACTAATTTAGCATAAGGAATTTGTGCAAGAAAAAGTACGAACCAAGAATCTCCAGATGTTTATGCAAGCCCTTTAGAGTTAAACTTCAAAGATAAGTAAAGAGATGGACCGTTAATTCGGATTGAGAGCTAAAATGTCATAAACGATGTAAATATAATTATTTAATATTGTTGTATATGTTATAAATTAAAAAAGGAATTACATAATATGATGATACGTGAGATATTTTCGCGCTCATTTTCAGACAGCCGCGATGTCTGTGAAGGATGTGCCTTAAATGATCCGCGGAAGCGATAATCATATTAATAATACTTAAAATAAATAATTTTTATTAATAGATATCAAACAATTACTATATTTCATTAAGACTATAAAAGAGGATCGATAAATGAAGTGGGGATAAAATAGAAAACAAAGTTAACTTAAACGTAAACTTATCTCACCCGCTTTCGCTTATGCCTTTAAACAAACATGAATTCTCGTCTTAATCAGTTCAAATGATGAACTTTTACTTTAAAACCTTACGTTTTCAGAAACTGCACTTTCTTGCGTCACGTAGACTCATCAGGAAGTTCGCTTCGACTTTCAGCTGCAAAAGCCACGTCTTTGAATACCTTTATTGTACGTGTTCGAAAGATGTTTGTGAGATAGCTGTGTCGTGAAAGCGAATAGTCATCAAGTTTAATGTGGGAAGTATTTGTTAGGAACATCATATCAGAGAGTTTAGGCAGATACCATATGAGGATGCGGATCTAAGTCTGACTAAAATACAATTTAAAAAATTACTATTACATAATTTAGTTTTACGGCACTTAATTAAATAATCAGAGTTTACTTCTTATATCCTTTATGTTTAACTAGCTGTCGCCTGCGACTCCGTCCCCGTGTAATTATAAAAAGTTAATAAGTAGTCTATGCTTTCTTCCAGAGTATGTTCTACATCCATGCCAAATTTCATAGAGATCAGTTGAGCAGTTCAGAAGATAACTTCTAACATCCATCGATTCGCATTTATATTAGTAAGATTTGAGAAAATTATCAACGTTTAAAGTTCTTACCAATGGCTTATCATCCCCTGACATTCTATTCAACACTAAAATGAAACCGATTGTTATCTCTATTGACTCAGATCGGAACAAAAGGCATGAGAGTTTATATTTTCATATATAGAATGGATTTTGAAATTCCTGCAGATGTTTTCAGTTAACAATACAAGTAGAAGACAAACGGAGACATTTTGTAACTCTATCGATGGCTAAAATGATTGAATAACAATTGTGTCAATCGTTATTGTATGTGTCGACCCCGTTTTAATGTAAAAGGCGTTGCGTAGCTCATCCTTATTGTTATCTCGTCATAATATTGTTACATTTACAATAAATGTTGCATTTGCTTTATGCAGATATTTTGTGTCTTAAATTAATAAACTAACAAGACATATCTCACTTATATTGGATGGATGTATGTTTGTTTGAAGATATCTCCGGAACATCTTAAAGGATCTTGCTGAAATTTGGCAATGATGTAGAACATAGTCTGGAGAAACGCATAGGCTACTTATTAAGTTTTTTTTATCCCGCGAGGACGGAGTCGCGGGCGACAGCTAATCATTGATGAATACCAGAGGAATTATAGAAGCTTTGCCGGCCCTTAGTCGGACTGTATACAAAAGTATGGAAAGAATTTTGTCACCTTTTACTTGGCAATATTAATTTTCTTATTTAATAAATTCAATTTAAGGCAATATTATCATTTGGTCTCTTATCTTAATATTATAAATGTAAAAGTTTTGACGGATGGATGTTTGTTGAATCTCCGAACCGGCTCAATGGATTTTGATGAAATTTGGCACGGATAGTCTGGAAGAACAACAGAAGTTTTTTTTATTCTGCGCCTACAAAGCTATTGATCTGCAAGTTGACATATGTTGAATATTTTTTGGTCTGTAAATTATCACATTTATTCCGTGTTTCCACGGGTTACATCAAGAAAAGTGAAACTTTGTCTATCAGCTCGCCTAAATCTCGAGTGACGCGGATTCGCGTGCATTAGATGTAAACAATAAACTTGTAACTAACAAGGGAACTGAACTCATTTCGCTACACAAAAACATGCTTTATAATATTTTATAAGACGTATGTGGGAATGTTATAATAGTGATGGGCAATGTATCGATGTTTTTATATATCGAAAACGAAGTGGAAATCGACATGTTTCTTTTAAATTACTGAGGAAAAGAATATATTTTTTTATCTAAAGTATATCCTTTCAGATGAAGTCAAAAAGAACAATAAATTTAACGTTGTCTCATTCATGCGCGAAATGCACTTAAACGTAAAAACTACTGAACCGATTCGAAGGAAATTTGGTACACAGATTGTCTAGAAAGGACATAGGATACTTTTAACGCGAAAAAGGCTTGTAGATACAAGGGAACATGTTTTTTTGAGTTTAATATGTTTTGTTGTATTATTTTATTATAAGTAAAATAATTAACCTAAGCCAATAAAATATCACACGAAGACGCTCGACGCGGACGAAGTCGCCGGTACAGCTAGTACACTTACATATCATAGCAAATAGCTAGTAGAGTTATAGTGTAGACAGACAATCAATGTAACCTAAGAAAATCGTGACCGAGCAAATATTTCGTAAGCTGACTTTCGCTCTCAAATGTAATTGTAAATAAATTATTAATAGCTTCATTAATTGCGAGCTACAGATGACGCATCTAGTCCTTTGTGCTTATTGTTTCATAAGTGATGAGAATTGTCTATTATTAATTTGCGGCATATTGTAACGGAAATGTCTCGGTATGCGTCAATCAATTTGATGTCTGTCGAACTTGCAAAACTTTATGGATTCATTTTTTTGGCGCAGAATGTTTTGTAATTTATGACACATTTAAAAAAAATATTCGTTTGCCAAAGTAGGTATAAAAACAGTGCACTGGTTTTGTGAACTACGTATTCGAACTCTTTCGGTAGACAAGGAGTTTGCATACAACTAGAGTTGGAATTCTGGCCGCAAATAATGTGCACATTTCAAGTAATAAAAAAGTTACGTGAAAAAAAGTGAAAAACCGCGAAATAGTGAATGTGTGTAAATAAAATAATTTTCATTTTGAATAAAATTTCTGTAAATCAATGATTTACTAATTTGTTTTTTTATTCAGTTAATATTAAATATATTTATCGTAAAGCTTTTATTTACATCAATTATCATAATGAATAAAGCTTTACTAATTAATTACAGTAATAAAAATAATTAATAAATAAATATTGTTTTTTTGTAGAATTCCATAGTTTTGCGAATGCGGTTTTATTCCTAATATTCTCAAGTTCGTATTAAATGAAAGTCAATTATTTTTTCACACAAAATATTTAATAAATACATCTAACATTTTACAATATAACGACATAAATTTAAATATTTGACAACATCGAGATATTATTTGGCATTAAAAACAAAAATATTCATAAAGTTGTTTAGGTTTTGTTATATTAATTTCGTCAACGTGAAATTGGAAGTGTTATTCTGATTAGAAGTTTCCTAAAAATATTGATAAAATATACAATATAATAAAATAATAACATGTTTGTAGATTGGAATGTGCGTTCTATCATTGTGGACATAGGCGGACATAATAATTTGTTTTAATTTAAACTATAGTTCGGAGTTTGAAGTTTTTTAAAGCAAGACATGATAAAATAATTGTAGAAAAAGATAATTTGTTAGAAAAAAATGTAAAAGAATAAATAAATCTATTAATTAATAAGTCTAACAGAAACTACCGCATTCAAGGTCGTTAAATGTTTACTCAAGATATACTTTAGTATAGATTTCCAATACTAATCCAACATCTCGGACCTCCAGTAAGCAGCACACGACTCTGCAAGCGGCTGTTCCTAACTCAAGAGGAAAGAATACACTTGTCATAATACATTTTATATGAAGTAGAATGAATTTGGCTGCAATTCGAGTTGCGCCATCTTTGCCATGAGGCGGTGCAGGCGGCGGTGTGCGCGCGGGCAACCCCCCGCCCCGCGCCGCGCACCCCCCAACCTGACCCCCGCACCCACCGCGCCCCCCGCACCCACCGCGCCCCCCGCGCCCCCCGCGCCCCCCGCCACCGGGCGCACCGGGTCCGGGCGCGCCTCCTGGCACGCCGCGACGCGCTCCGCCAGGTGACGCGGCATCTGTAATACAACATCACTGCAGCTACACATTGCACAAAATACTAAATATCATAACTAATATACAGCTGAACAACACTTAGATATATCGACAGCCGACGTAAGTATTTTTTTTATTTCAATTACTGTTTTACTAAAAAAACATGACTGACTTCGAATGTAGGCGAGTGCAGCACAGGCGTCCACATGGGCAGTAGTCTGTTGAGCACTGTGGAGTTGCAGTCCAGCAGCGACTCCAGCAGGCTCAGGAAGTGCAGGTTCACCGTCTCCGCCAGCTGTCATATCAAGCGTATTCACATATTACTTTTGGACTATGGAATGCGCTCCATATATTTCATTATTTTGTTACATGAGCAATCGTCGATAACTACGTCGGCGCAAAATTTAAAAACAGTAGCCTATAATATGCCCGCATGCATCAGCTACTTTAAAACCGGACCATGCGAACAGATAGATAGACAAAAAATCTATTGAAATGTATTTATAATGAGTAGAAGTTACAATGTTGCAGTGTGCGGAGAGCTGCAGCACGCTGGGCAGCAGCTTGCACCAGAAGTCCAGCAGCAGGCAGTGCGCCGTGTGCTGCGCCTCACCCCCCGCGCCACCCCCCGCACCGCCCCCTGCACCACCCCCCGCACT